CAGCCAGCCCCTTCCACCCGCGCGCTTCGGAGTCCGCGGTTAAACAAAGTCGCACCGGCAGAACCGGACGGCAAAGACGAAGCCGCCGCGCCGTTCACCCGTATCGCACTCGTCTATGAATCTACCCCATCTACAATTCTTCCCTTTGTATCGTGTCGCAGCCAGCGACCCAGCCCGCCCCCACGGGCATTCCCCGGCGCCTTTCCCTCCATAAGTGGCTCGACGCCTCGTCGCACCAGCACGCACGCACGCACGCGCCGCGGACGCCGGAGGAAATGACAGAAGGCGCCACCCGTCCGCGCAACCAGCTTTTACCCACCCACACCCTGAGAGCGCCCGTTTGAGGTGATCAGGGCAATTCTACTGATGCTACTGACGCGAGCGTCCAAGGTTTTGATTTTCGACACTATATTTTGACCCTATACTTCCAATGGTCGTATATTAGTGGCACGGTGGGATTCCTGGCCGATGATATAGGTCATTTGTTACACTTCTTTGTATTTTAAAATTAATATTTTTAATTAATTAGCAAAACGTCCTTCCAACGGATTGTGGCTCAGGAAAGTTTCTACACTGTTAAAAAATATTCATTTTATAAAGCAGATGTAACAAGACCTAATGGCAATCGTCTACTTTTATAAGACAAACAACAAAGAAGTTAGCCAAGTTCCATCCACGTCTAGCAGGAAATTCTAGCGCGGCTAGCTCTGATCGATAGTGTTCACCGGTCCTCTCCAATCAATACCCAGTGAATGCTGCGGAAGCAAGCCTTCACAGGCTACGACCCCCGCCGTATTTTTCCCTTCCTCTATCTACCCTCAAACCACGTCTTAAGCGCCACTACACTTCCGACATGTACAGATACCTCCCCGCTGGGCGTCTTGTCCCCTGGATGCGAGAGACCTAGTGAGGCGAAAACCCGCAAGCTGACTTGGCAAGGTGGACTCAATCTCGCCATGCAGCGGTCGAAAACAAATGCGCCATCCTCCCACTTGACAAAACATACACTACACGTACGGACAAATCACCATAGCCGTTGACAGTCCTGGAAACACGGAAAATAAATCAATCCTTCTTGCGTGGACCTCCACCCCATTTTTTTTTATTACCACACTCCTAGGAAAATCACACACCCCTTGGTGTAGTCAAACCATACTACGGAAAAAAGCAGCACCCAAAAGAAGAGTTGAAACAATAATAGTTCCTTCCTAATGCCCCTCTTATACAAGACTATGCCACAGAGTAGATGTATGTATTTGATTTATAATACACAAAACTCGTTTGAAACCTTACACACTGCAAAAGAAGACGCAATTATATACATGATTGCATAACATCAATAACACAATACGTACTAATCGAATTCAGAAGGTCGGGCGTGTGAGCGCTCCTATCAAAGAAAAGTATTCTTTTTAGACGACGGCTGTTTTAAGGTGGCATATAAAAGAATGCCGGACGACACCACGCTAACATTCCAAACAAGCTAAAGCTTAATACGAATTATCCGCTCTGTCTGCTTCCGCATTTCTTATCGGGCGGCCCGCCAATAGGCGTCACTCGTCCGTTGCCGCACGAACGGCCTTCGACGTGCACAGACGACGCACGCGCCCTACGGTGAGCACGACCCCAAGGGAATCGACTGTGCGCGGATCTTCGCGCTGCACCCACGGCAGGTTAGTACAGGATATAAAAGGATTGGCGAGGAAGAAACCAGGATGCGTCTAAAAAACGGACGCCAACAATGCTGCAGATCCAGAGTGCACTCTATATGTATGGTTAGTGTAACCGGTACTTCGAAGTGTGGTCAAGTTGTAATGAATGAAATTATAGAGAGGAAATGGCAAATATGACGACATATATCCAAAACGCCTAATATAGGCAGTGGCTGAAGTCCTATCGATGGGAGTGGCATGGTAGAGTGCCAGAAGGCGAGCATCAGTAAGTAAGTGGCCGACAGAAGTATGCTTTGCCAAAGGCTTCATGTTGTCACTGATCATCTTTTGCGGCGCATAAGATTAAGTGTATTGATGTCGTACGAAGATGAAAATTTAATGACCCCGCAAGTTCCTTGTCAAATGCTAGGACACGGCCTTAGTAGTCGAGGATATTCCAAACCTAATCGGAAGAGGAAACTGCAATGCAGTAAGTCTCCATTAGACGCAATAAATACTATAACATTTCCTGCCGTTGCGACGAAAGTAGACTATCTATGACCTCAATGACAAATGACAATTCCTGTCGTAGACTTCAAATAAGAAACGGAGAGTTTAAAAGGACACAGAGAGGGAAATGTACAAAATGGAAACCATTATTTTACAGTTGACTTCAAACTAACATCAACCGAAACGTCGGGGTCGAGAGCTTTCTGAACAAACTGAGAAAATTCTACTAACAATGTGAACCCATATTAACAAAAATAATGTAAGTAGAAATGTGAAACTAACGTGTAATGAGAAAATTACTAAAAAGGACAAAAAATATTAAATGGAAATAGCTGATTTACGAACACAATTTGTCTTCCTGAACATGTGATAAAATTCACTGACACAGTCAAACAACCTCACATTCAAAATTACGCCACTTTACAAAAATCCCTAGCTCTGCGTTTTTTTCAAATCCTGCTATGATCAATTTACAATGTTTGCAATATTATCAAATATTTTAGAAGTAAAACTGCGAATTGTTTATGAGCACCCGTCCCTTTCCAGAAAATCCAGATTCTTTAACGAAATTTTCAAAGCCACACTTGTTATATTACTTCGAGTAGACATCGCGCTTTTTTTTTTTTATTTTTCCCCCCCTCCTTTGCTCCTACCGGTAATCAACGCATGAGAAACGCTTAGCTGGGATGAAGCGAGTGTCAGAAATCTTCGGTCACTCACGGAACGTGCAGCGCCCGGACAGCGCATCTACGCTCTTGAAACGGAGAGATAGAAATTACATACATTAAGAAAACGTACATATTATATTTGTCTTCCATACGTCACATAAATGTTTACTGTTTTCTGACGATAAAGCAAAATAAAATATTCTTAAGAAAGCATTCTCTCGATGGGTCCACAAGTTGCTTATAATACTAATACGTCTCGCATTAAAAAAAGACACGAATGGTGCTGTCCACGTTTATTATTATTATTATTATTATCATTATTATTATTATTATTATTATTATTATTATTATTGCTAACTTAGATCCCATTAAGGGCAATGGCTTTCTGCCTTTCGCAGAATACTGAGATAGGGTGATAATGAGGGTGAAAGGACTCTGTGATCATGGCATTTCTGAACCAACCCGGCATTCGCCTTATGACCGAGAGAAACCACAAAAAAAGGCGACCCGAGGATTGAACCCGGATCTCTCGATTGCGTTACGCACTGAGACATTTCGCTCAGCGTCCACATTAATATGCAAGTATAATTATGGATATTGAGACGTTCTTTCATTCATTTCGAAAAGCTGAAATTATATAAATTTTAAAACATCAATTTTAATGGTATTATACTTTCGGATTCTAATAAGATCTACGAAATAGAAGTAGGAGAAGTGAAAATTAGAAGGCATTTATAAAAGAGGCGAGAATTGTGATGCCACCACCCACAAATATCTAGTACGCGTATCACGTATTCAAAGAATCGAAGACGTACATAAAGGGTTCGTTACAAGACGGATACTACTGTTTCTGAAAAAAAGAAGCCACACATCGTCCGCAGAAAAGAACAACCTTGTCACACTGTCGAGTCTGCGCTTGATGACGGATGAGTTCTTAAGACAGGTCGCAAATGAAATGCGCCAGAACAGCTAATCGAGGGCGAATTTAAAATAACCATGCTTGAGCACGCACGCACAAACTACGTCAAAGATTTCAAACTGTGTTTTGGATAGCTACCTCCAAATAGACACTCTCTAAAGCACGATCGTATTTTATTTTAAGTATTCGGTCGCGAATCTACAATAAGACAGATTAAAAAGATTAGCTTCAGGAGGAAGTGGATTCACAATAGTTAATTCAGATGGAGACCACTTAGAAATGCCCATTACGAAAGTCCTCCCCATCGTTTGAGGTACACTTACAAATACAAAACTTATTTTTTGTATTATTATGTAACTGTCATAAAAGCCGCTCAGAGGCAATTTTTCGACCCCGATGGACGGCTATACATGGGTTCTGTTAAAATTTCAGAAAATTCGTTTCTTCATCAAGATAAAAGAATCTACAAAAATCGGGGCCCAAAGAAAAAAAAAGGATCCTGTAACCCAAATCTACGAAAATATGTTGGCAAAAATGAGCTACCTCGGAAATGTGACTTCCGCGTCATAATTTCGAAACACTACCCTTGATATCCACTTGCTACAGCATTTTAACACACTCGTGACGATGCGTCCTCCAACTCAATTTCCTCGAGGCGCTACAATCACTTTGCGGCCACTCCACTTGAAGAGCATCAATCGGCGCTCACAAGAATGGACGGCACTTTCTCCGCTGGCCGTCGGCGGCTGCTGCTGCTGCTACTGCCGCTTCATCTCTACGGCGCGGCGTTTTTCATTCGCTTAACAATTCATGGAAAGCTAAGCTAAGCCAATACGTTATTCAAAGCGGTTAGAAAGTTATAGATCAGAGACCGAGCCTTTTATATTCCGAAGACATCGAGAGTCGGGTGCAAGGAAGAGAAAGTTATTTAGGCTACTTTATAAGTCGGTAGTATTTCTTCTGGACGCTGGACCTTAAGCAAATCTGTTTCTTAGAACCCACAACTAAATCTGAACAATTAGTCCAGTCTCTTACAACTCAGCTTCAAATTTTTCATACTGTGCCTTTTAAAAATTAGCTTTTTGTTTCTCCCTTCACTGCTGCTTTCAAGAACACTTTAAACACAAATTGACAAATTGCATTGTCTTTGAATTAATATTCTAACAAAGTTGAAACGGTAACAAAATACATCTAGAATCATACCGCAAATTATGTTTATTATTAATCCATTAAGAATTAATATTAATATTTTTAAACACCATCCAAATAAAAGAAAATCTCTAAAAAGAAAAAAAATAAAAAAAAAACCGAAAAACTTGCAAAATAATTTCTGATATTTAACCAGAAAATTCAAACGACCCAAAAATTTAAATCAAAAACATGAAGCTTCATTTTTTCAATTGTTCACTCATTCTTTCATCCACTCATCTACCCACCCATTCCAAATGAATGAAAAAATATTCCACATAATATACGACAATGGATAGTACTCACTGAAATAGTTGAGGACCTCTCGGATCTGCTCCGAAGTTAATTTAAGATCAGTGTCGTCTACTTTTAATGCAGGTGCAGGAATGTACCAATCCTCGTTCTCGTAGCCTGTAAATAAAAATAAGAAGAAGTGTTTTTAATGTATTCTGTAATGTTTAAACAATTGTGTCCTAGGTCTGAAAGTTTTCCATTTCTTAATTACCTGTGAACTGGGTAAGGGTGTCTGCACGTAAGCGGTAACGTGGGATTTGCTCTTCCAGCAAACTAATTATTTCTACCTCAGGAAGCTCTTCTCCACTGCACACATCTGTGAAAATTCAATTACAATTGTTGACGTGATTAATTGTTAATTACAAGGAAACAAATATGGTTTGTACAATAATCATGGGCCTGAAAGAACATTTTCAAGGAATTTTGAGTATCATGAAGGATTAATTTTATATTATGACTGAAAGACTTCTTTTAAATTCTATGTAAAATTAAAAGCAGTAGTGGCAGTACACGATAAAGGACTAGAAATTCCACTTCAAAACACAAGTAACATATGTACAATCACTCTCAGCATAACCATCATTCAATTTGCAAACACATTCCCATTATCAATATTTACCAAATAAAACAGCATCAATGCACTGAATATCATGAACACACACAAAACAAAACAACAAAAGTAACCTCACACAACTATCATGAACATATAATCACATGCACTCACTAGAGCACACTTGGTATCAAGTACTTGCCACTTGCAAGAAAGCATGTAAACAATCCGACTTCACTTGCCAAAGGTCAGTGAGCCCATTACCTACCAGCCTCCCATTGCTGTAAAATAGTCTTCTGTCTCTCTTGAAGGTCAGAGGACCTTCTCCTATTTTTGTGGGGTAATATAGACCCCAGGAACATTTCCACAATTTACAAAACAATTTAACGACCACTTCTGTGAGCACCGACACTCAGCAGATTTCGCGACTGAACGACTGCCTAGCCCCACAGCTCCAGTCCGTTTAGTGAAGCTGACCTCATGCTCTGCTATACTCTGCTTCCCACTGTTGCAAATGTGACCAAAATAACACAGCCACTGGCTGGAGAGAAGCCAACAGGAGGTGAGGGGGAGGGATTGGCAACCCGGTAGTCTGCCTGTTACGCTCAACCTGAGGTGCGTCAAGGTTTGCACAGGATAGTACTCTAGCCTTGTTGGTTGAATCGGTAATGAGCACCCCAATGTCACTTCGTTTTGCCAAAATAATTATATGTGAACTCATTATATCTCTCATAGCAAGTGTATTTTGTGTTTGCAGATAGAGTGCAACGTGATTACATAGGGAAATGAATATAGCATTGGTAAACTAGCACCTTTAAACTGCACTAGTAAATACAACTGAAGTACTTCATTGTTTTTCATTACAGAGAGGGTAATTTTTCAATGTATTCTTTTAATTTATTTTAAAAGACAGATTTTCAGAAAAAGCACAGAAACAGAACTCAGCAAATTAAAACTTTAATTTTAAACCTGAGTTAAAATGTAATTAATAAGTGTCAGCCACAAATTATTTTCAGAATTAAAACAAATTATTTCTTAAAATTAAAAACAAAGTTATTTGCGATTCATTTGTGAAGAGCAGCAGCTCTTCACAAATATTATCTTGGAAACATTTCTAAAACGTATCATCACATCAAAATTTCATAGAAGGAAACTGTTTTTAAAATTATTATTTTTAATTTCAATTCTTAAGTAATTTGAAAACAAAAGCAAGTTCAGAAGAAAATTTTGTTTTTGTGATTTTCTTCCACATTTGAATTGAGAAGAAATATGCCAATTTTTGCCATTGTAGGATCAATGTGAAGTTTATTACTGCCCACTTCTTCAGGCATAACAATCAATCACAAAAAAGACCAATGTCATTAAAGAAGCCTCCAAAGAATTTCAAGTATCCTGACTGCAGTTCTCCTTCAATTTGAAATTCTATAACAATTCAATTTCAAATTTTACAGTTTACTTTTCATTCTGCAGATGCTCCTTTGAATCACAGATTTTCTAGTAATTTATTATTCATGTATCACAATTTTTAGAACTTCAAAAACCATTCTTTAAGTGTACTATTTTTGCCAATCTATAACAACCAGAGGAATTTTACTTTGTGATCAAGGATAAATACAAAATTAAATCTAATATAAAATAAAGCAACTGAAACTTTACACATATTTAAGATTATCTGTACAGTATCTCAAGAATGAAAGAAAATGACAAATTTAGTTTACTTTTGGAAAGTATTGCAATAACTGCCAAGTTTCATGATAATTTCTTCAAAAGCAGATCATCTATTTTGAAATGTCATTCACTAACAATGCTTTATGACAATAACAAATCACAAAAAACAGAACAACAGTAGTGTGGAAACTTCAATTAAACCTTGATTTAGAAATGTCAAATGATTTCTTCTAATACAAACTTTATTTTTTTAAAGTGGGAAAAATACCTATTAGAAGAAACAGAGTTGTTCTTGAAATGAAAAGGTTTCTGTATATTAGAATCAATTTAATATCACCATAACCAGGTACATCGAATAATGAGGGTATGGTGGGCAGCTATACCCACACAAAACATTTTGAGGGGGTAAAGTACCCACTTTGAAATTGGTGTAGAAGAAATATTCCACAAATGTCATCTTCAGGAAATTAACGAAGTTTCTTGGTGTGGTAAAGTCTCAAAAGGTATATGCGATCAACTATGTTGCAAGAACGGTTCAACAGTACTGCAATTTTACATGCTGACAATGATGTGATCAACAAAATCGATTTGCATAAGTTGTTATAGGAATTTATATCACAAAATGCAAAATACAGTGCTGTTTTTGCATTGCACAAATGAACTGCTGAAGTTACATAAAATAAATGTGATAATTTAATGATAAACATGACAATTTGAAAAAAATATGTTTTGTATTTTTCCCTTCATATATATTTTCGATGGAGAAGGAGGAGGAGGGGACTCCCACTCAAGTGAACCACCCACTCAAGAGTTCACACAAATTGCTGGCCCTGATCATAACAACATTAAATGAATAAAAATGCAAGTAAAAGGTGAGATAATATGAATGAAAAGAGAGGGCATATGGGGTGCTTAATGAAAAGGATCCCCAATTCACCAAAGGTAAAACAAACCAAAAAGAAGAAAGGCAAATGAATTAATGTGTTTTATTCAACACACTTTTTTAAAAGATTACAGATCTAGGGGAATCCATTAAGTTACTTCACTTGTGTTCAATAAATCCATTTAATATAATATAAATAAGAAAGAGTCAGATTCTAGGATCTCTTCTAAAATTCTTCATATAAAATTGTACATACTAATCAAAGGGCTGACACTGTGACATTACATCATACATTGTTTTCTTGAGTGAATTTCTCATAAACATGAAAACATAGAACATTTCTTGAAATATATAACTGACAGCACTGGTTTTTTCAACTCATCATCTTTCTGAAAAAAGAAACAAAATCTTTGTTAATTTATAACACAGACATTCAACAACTTCATTTCCAAAGCATTGCGCTATTTTCTCCAGACCTAGCAAGTGCTCATTCTTGTCAATTATGTCCAAATTCTTATAAATGACCCAGTATTGTCATTCACATGCACTGTAAAATAATTACTTCCACTATCTGCAATATGTCCCTAGAGATGTAAGTAATATTTAAATTAATAATAAAAGTGCCAGTATCCATGCTATTCCTACAAGTGATGTGCACTAATTAGTATTCAGTTTCTTGTTAAATTTAATGTTTAATAAAAATAAATATACAAAACAGATTAACTTTGTTACAATTAC